TGAATAATAGTGTCACCTGATAAGCATAGCAGATGGAAATCTAGAAGGTTCTTTCATGGAAGTGTAGATATTTGGAAGAACAGAATGGCTACCATAGCAAAAACCAATAAGTCCAACTGCTACAGGCAAGTTTCCAACTTCTAATGCAGTTCCACTCGGTTGATATTCAATTCCATCAACTACCCCTAGCCATAGTAAGCATAGAATCACAGTTGCCAATGTTACAACTCCAAAAGCTGCTCAAAAAAACCTATGGAATTAGTCCCTTTAATTTATCTCAGGGGTAAAAAGGGAAAAATTACTGAAGGATATAGAAATTAGAACCTGAAATATAGGAGAGTAAACTGAGGTTTCTAAGCCAAACTGTTGGAAGGATGACAAGGGTGGATATAATGGCACATAAGTAATGAGAATCAAGATGTATGCCACCAATATCCAATTGAGCAAGTGGAAAAAGTGATGATAAATTGTCATTCATCATTATCAAATATTCCACACAAGAAGACTGCAGTATTAATTAGCACACAACTTGAGATTAATTTAAATTGTTAATTAGATACAATCATGCAAATGAAATTAGTATTCACAATTAGCACTTACAAACAATTCCATGTACAAAACCATCTGCATTGAAAAAAAAAAAAAGAGAAATAAAAGTTACATATTTGGTCCTCATGGTTTCTTTTTGTTATTTGTAGAAATATTTGAGTTTTGTATAAATACTCACAGCTATACATATGCGGCCAACAAAACCAAATGCAGCTTGTCCAATATCAGGGTAAGATTGGAGCCCATCATATCTTTCTAAACACAGTTTTATCAATATTCCTGTATAGCAAGAAATACCACCACCAAGTAATAGAAGCAGAAGACACAACCATCCTCCTTCTTTAAATGCATAAGGCATTGATAGGAGTCCTATACCACATAGGACATTTATTGCTGCATAACAATGACTATAGACAATAAGAACATAAAAATTAAACACTTGGAGAATAGAGAACAAAAGAATATTCTAGCTATTATTATATCAATGAAAAGAAAAGAAAAAGAGATGAAGGAAGATATATAATGGACTAACCATTAAGAACAGATTGAGAAAATGAGCACTGCTCTACAGGAGGTGGTAAATCATGGAGGCTAGGGATTCTTAAGGCTGATGATATTCGAGAGAACTTTATAGGGAGTGTTGAGATAGGAACTTGATCTTTGTCCAAGCTTGTTTCAGTAATGAGGGGCTTCTGCAAGGTGGATTGATCATCTGTAGGACTAAGTGATCTCTTTATAGGTAGATTTAGATTCAACTCTGATGCGCCTTTTAAAGTACCCATAGACTGAAGGGGCATTGTGTACATGTCCATTGACTGCCTGCATAATTTGCAATTCATCATGGAAAACTATAAAAGTTAAATGTAATGTACTGTATCTGTGGATATATATTATTGTTTAACTTGTGTGAGTTATATATCCTATAGGGTTTGAGTTGTTATCAAACTCCTTGTCTCCTGTGATACCCATAGACTGAAGGGGCAAACTTGAGATTTCAAACTGCAAAGACTCTTTGCATTGTTGAATATACCAAAGATTGAGAATGCAGGATTACTCAAACTATTATATATGATATATATATAATAGAAGACTGAGATATCTACTCTTCAAGTGCAAATTTCATAGAATCATGGATATTTAAAAATAAACACTATGAATTTTTGGTATGAATGGCAGTATCCTTAAGTGTTCTTCTTCTAGATTTGATAATTTATACTCAAAATTGATCACAGTTGCATAGAGATTTGGTATGGTCGGAAACATCAATGGTCAAAGCTCGAAATGAACGAAGAGAACCTGTAAGTTTGAGGCCACGGATCAATGGAACAGTTTTGAGATTGAGAAGCGGTGATGAAGCCGGAATTGGTTTCAGCGTAGATTAATTCACTGTCGGATCCGGTTTCATCATCGTCGTTATCCTCGCCATCGCAATGTATTTCCGCTTCGTTTTCTTCATCATCTGTTTCAACCTCAATGCGCCTATCAGGCACAAATTCTTCGTCGATTTTCATCCCTGTCATAGCTAAATTATTCTTCAATTACAACCACATTCATAGAATTTTGGTGTCAGATGTATTGTGAAGTTGTTAGGCTAAATTGTTTGATGATTAGTGTAAAATTAGAGACACGAAGTCCGAAATTTATGCATTCATGCATGTCGATATGGTGAAATTTACTATTAGTTTTTAATGTTTAATAATCCTTTTTCTATATTCTTAAATCTTTAAAATTAAAATAAAAAATAAATGGACCAGCTTTAACCAATCACGTTAAAATCGTCATTTTTTTATTCCGTTGTCGTTGTAATGGAATCCCCATTCTATTATTCTGTCATCGCACACCAAAGTGACCAAACACTGGTCAATTGCACCTAATTTTTTAGCAAGATTCCACACTTCCACCTCTATATTAGCTGCTATTAACCAAGCATCAAGAGAGAGAGAGAGAGAGAGATGACGGAAGTGAGAGCAGACGGAGGCTCAGCCGCAACAGCTGCTGCCGGAGGATCACCGACGGTAAAATCGATCTTCATTCATCCAATTAAATCATGCAAGGCCATTTCCGTTTCACAAGCACCCCTTTCTCCCACCGGTAATCTTCGTCCCTCCAGTTTCAACTTCCAATCCTTGCAATTTTTATACATGCAGTGAAAAATCCAGTCTCCAAATTCAATAAAAAAAGATTCAATTCCACCTAAAAGTTTAGATTTAGATCCTCTGGATGCAACTCGTTAAAGTCATTAATCTTTATTACGTAATTGTGTTGGTCAACCTAAAAGGGGTTAAACGTTTACCGATTTTACCTCTGTAGCTTGCTTAACCAGGTGGTACTTTCTGCATGTTCACTTGCACCTCTGCCAACAGCATAACAATCAATAAATTTGTTAGATTTTGTTTTGATACAGGGTTTGTGTGGGATCGTCATTGGGTGGTTATAAACTCAAAAGGCAGAGCGTACACTCAAAGGGTTGAACCAAAGCTTGCTCTAGTTCAAGTAGAGATGCCCATGGAAGCCTTCTCTTTGGGTTGGGAGCCCAAAAAAACTTCTTATATGGGTATATATCTTTCTTTCTTCCTTAACACAACTAAAACTTATTGTCTACCAAATTTCACAAGCATTGTCCCAATAATTTTGGTGGAGGAATTGTTTATGCAATATGAATTGATTTGATCTTGTTCGGGCAGTGGCACGTGGGCCCGGTATGACTACCGAGCTCAAGATCTCATTGACCAAACCATCATTACGGTCAGACGGGATTTCGGTCTGGGAGTGGTGCGGGTCAGCCTTGGATGAAGGAGACGAGGCTGCAAAATGGTTCACTGAATTTCTTGGAAAACCTAGCCGATTGGTGCGCTTTAATGAAGGTAAAATCCTATCACGTTTTTTGTAAATTCATTTTATAATACTACAACAGAAATTTAACTCACTCGTGTTTTTTGTATGTAGAGACCGAAACTAGACCAGCTGACCCTTTATTTGCTCCTGGATTCAATGTTAAATTTACAGATGCTTTCCCCATCCTTTTAGCATCCCAGGTTAGTGACATTTGTTATTCGAGAGGAGGGAGGGTATTTACGTCTTTTTCACACCACACAAGAATTGCAATTTTGTCCCATTCATATCAAATGCACCGTACAACTGCTTGGTTCTGTTATATCATGTCATATCATAATTTTAAATATTGAACTCTGCAGGCCTCTTTGGATGCTGTGAATGAACAGTTAAAAGAACCGGTTAGCATAAACCGGTTTAGGCCCAAGTATGTCTTTTAGTACATTGTTTTAAATTGTTATCTGGATGATGAAATTTAAAATATTTGAGAAAATTATATCCAATTTGGGAAACGCTTGAAAAAAAAAACAAAAAACAAACGAGTCTTTCTGCATTAAGTCAAAAGTACTAACAATTAACATATCTTTGGCTTTTTCATAACAAATTTCTCATGCAGCATCTATGTAGAAGGTTGTGAATCGTTTGCTGAGGACCTCTGGAAACATATCAAAATTAACGGGTTAACTTTTAAAGGCGTCATGCTTTGCCCACGTTGTAAGGTATGGCAATTAGTCAATAACACATTTGTCATATTAAAATATATTTTTGTTATTATTTTGAAACGTTGAACATGTATATTCATTTAATTCAAAAACCTTTTCTCAGGTGCCTACAATCAATCAAGAGGACGCGACTGTAGGGAGTGAACCAACTGCAACCATGATGAAGTTCCGATCGGCCAAAGTCTTGGAAGTGAACCCCACAAAATACAAGGGCAGGGTGAGTTACATGTCCCCATATTTTATCCTAGTTGTAAGAAAGTAAGAATCCTTGTGTATAATTTTCCTTATTCATTTAAATGAATAAAATTTGTAGGTTTACCTTGGGCATATGATGGTGTGTGAGAGTATTGATAACAATTGGAGAAAGGTTATCAATGTTGGAGATGTTATTCATGTGGAAGAGGCATTTGCATCGTATGCAGATGTTGCAGTTTAATATTTATTGTTGGATAGTTGCAGACTTAGAGACTATAAGTTTGTTGTCAGTATACATCATGACAACCGTTGTAAGATTGCCTTTTTATTTTTTTTTTCTTGATTAATTGAACTCTAGCATGAAGAAATGGACGAATAATTTCAGGAAATAAAAGAAAATTATTGCAAGTTTCTGTTAATCTCGAGGATTTATGACACGTATTTTCCCATAATGGATACCAATTCTCATTCCAAGTATATATAGTTACATAATACCAACATTGACTTAGCAAATAATATATGAGTCTAATATGCATATACAAACTAATATTCCTCCATACTTTTGAGCGGGAGGCTGCCAATCTAGATCTAAACCTTTGACCAAAGAAGACGGGAGTTGCATTAATTTGAAGCAGCATCAATCAAGGAAAGTGTAATACAAACATTCTCATAAACAGTAAAATGCAATTCTTTTTAGCGAGTCTACTCAGGCTCGCAATCAATTAGAACTTGGACTACTGAATCCATTGTAGGCCTTTTATTCCTGTCTTCCTCCACACAACTTACACCAATCTCAACAAGTTTTGAAGCTTGCTTCATACTGAACAATCCTCCCAACCTCGAATCAATTATCTCTTCAATCCATGACTCCATTTCTTCCCCTTGAAGCTTCGTTTTCGCTACCCTTACAAACCTCATAAGCTCGGTTTCTTCCTCTTCCCCTTCCTGAACAACAATATTAGAAAGTCGAATTCCCCTTGCCATTTCTAAAACCACAACCCCATAGCTGTACACATCAACTTTTGCTGTAATAGGAAGGTTGCTAGCCCATTCTGGAGCCATATATCCTTTTGTTCCTCTGATCCTAGTAAACTCCGAGTTTTGACCACCTCTTTGAGTCAACTTTGCCAAACCAAAATCTGCAATCTTTGGTTCGAACGACTCATCTAAAAGAATGTTTTCTGGCTTAACATCACAATGAATCACCCATTCTAGGCACTCATGGTGTAAATAAGCCAAACCTTTTGCTACGCCTATGGCAACTTTGAACCTTTCTTTCCATTGAAGAAAACTCGAGGAGAACAATCTTTTGTCAAGAGATTGATTTTCTACAAACTCATATACTAGAAGTTTGTGTTTTCTCTGAGAGCAGAATCCCCACATTCTCACTAGATTCATGTGATTGATTTTACCGATTGTGCTCACTTCTGCCCAAAACTCTCCACCTTCTTCGCTCACATCTCCCAATCTTTTCACAGCCACCACCCTTTCATCTTCCAGAATCCCTTTATACACAACTCCTGATCCTCCTCGGCCTATCTCCTCCTTAAAGTTATGTGTCGCCTTCAACAGCTCTTTATAACTAAACCCTCTAAATTGACTAGATATCATACGATACCCTTCTTCTAGGCTGTTTACCAATGCGTTGTTTCCATAAAATATCCACCAGCCCAATAAGATGACCAAAGCTTCAACCAAACCAATAGCTATAGCAAACGAGTAAAGATAAACCCATTTCACCTTTCCAGCAGGTGATTTATACATAGATGGAGAACCCACCATGACTGGGACATCTGTACATATCGCCTTTGAACCATTAAGGATTGAGGCAGATTCCGGAGCTTCCATGCCTATTGGTACTTTGAAGTACATGGTTGCTGGGAAATTAGGATACTGGTATCCATTAAAAAGGTCGCTTTTTACATAGCATGTACCTTCACCTGTTAGCCTATAACCAAATGCTTCACAACGACAATCACCCAAGCAGATGTCTCTACACGATTCAAACGAAATGCCCGATGAGAAATTTAGATCAAAGCCATAGTAATCGGTATGCTGCATCGGCACAAATCCAAACGTTGCTGACTTTCCACATGTATCGTTGAAAGTAGGCTTACAACCTTGACCTAAATAATTAGGGTCACTCCATTCATAGTGAGGTGGACATGAACATTCAGGTTTGTCTCCATAAACACACACCCCGTTTCTCCCACAGATTCCATGAATATTACATGGTTGTGATATAGCTTGCCACGAGATCGACCATAATCCTGTCGACTCATTCAAGCTATAAAATCTGAGATTACCATCATAGTCGATGGTGAGCCTCCTTCTGATCCCAAAACCCATATCTGAAGAATTAAATTGCAACCCATCGCTTGAGTTAAACACACCGAGATCGTTAAAGAATGCGTATCTGGTATTGTTAAAAGGGGTTCTTCCATAGGCCCAAACATTAAAACTTGGATCAGGACTAGGCCAGTAGACACTTGATATTTCTGGGCCATCGTAAAACATTGTTAAAACGTTATTACTACCATAGCTCAAACTAAAATACCCAGGTTGAAAACTTTCTTTTCCGAAAGCAGATATCAAGCTTTTGCTCCTTGTTAATAATTGAGAAGGCAAAAGAGTATCAGTTGGATAGTCAAAGCTTTGCCAAAGAATCTGATCTTTGTTGTTCATGAGTACTAGATTACCTGTATTAAGAAGCACTGCTCTATCTACATCCATGGACGTTGGGTTGGTCTCCCACACAAACGCGCCATCTACATCCGTCAAAACCATGGCACCATTTGTTTCAAGTGTCAACTTTGAGCCATGGCCATTGACAGGTTTGTTGCTGTTTGCAGTCCAAACCACAGTACGTTCTTTGGAGTTTGTATACCAGATTGCAAACCAGTAAGCATTGGTTTGAAAGCCATAGAAGCCGCAGGTAAAAGTGTTGTCAGGGGAGGTTATGAAGTGTGAATCATCATCTACGGAGAGAAACGAACCTCTATAAAGATGATCCTGAATTTTGTTCTTTGATACGGAAGATCTCATTAAGCAACAGAAGAGGAGGAGAAAGACTCTTTTCGTCATGTTTGGCTGTTTAATTCTTTCAGTAAACAGCTTACTTTGTTTTCGTGAAGAGCGAAGACTTTGCGTTTGGAAGTGTTAATTATTTATTCGGGGTAGGGCGTGCATGTATCACCTGAATCCTTGTATTTTACATTTCTTAATACTAAAGACTTTGTTCTATGTGTTTAAAATGTAAAATGATTAATGTTATATTAGATACAATGAAAGATTCTGACATGAAATATATTATGAATTATCATTTATGTCTTAGTTGATGATAATTTCTTTTATTATGTCAACGGTTCATTAATCTATTCTATTTCGTAGATTTTTAACATTTTGGTTATACTAATTAGAAAATTACAAATTTAGCCATTTTTCTTAATTACTTTGTAAAAATAGTTTTTTTTTTTTTTTTTTTTTTTTTCAAAAAATAACCACCAAAATCGCAGATAGATTAGAGCCATCTACGATTTTGCCATTTGATCTGTGAATATACAAGTGTTTAAAGCGTGGACGTGCATTGCCAGTTATACGTTAGTTCATTTGCGATTTCCTCTAATGTTTCATTTGTGATTTTGCACTTTTTAAAAAAAAAAAAAAAAATTGACTACGAAAATGATATGGTTTAACAACAATTGTATATGAAATCGTCCATAGCTACCGATTTTCGTCTACAAAGAGAGTTCTTACAACAAAAACCTTGCAAAATGAAAGCTAAAAAAGACTAAGGTATTTATACCCTTAAAAAGTCAAAATTGCAGATCAACTAATAAAATCGCAGATGGACTTAATCCATCTGCGAACGTACAACTGCCAATGCATGCCCACACTTTAAACAATTGTACATTCGCATATTAAATGTCGAAATTGCAGATGATTCTAATCCATCTGCGATTTTGGTGGCTAATTTTGTAATTTGTGTTTTTTGCCTATTTTTTGCAAATAATTAAAGAAAATGTCTAAATTTGTAATTTTCTCTATATTTATTCATGTTCATTTATCCATGTACGAAACTACAAATCTAGATGGTCACTGCTAACATATGAATGAATTACGACAACACTTATTTTATTAATTACCGACATTGTCATAAAAATAACACAAAATTACATAAATGGTCTTTGTGGTTAACCAAAGATAACAACTTTAATCATGTTAGTTTTTTTGATAAATAATCTTGTGGTTTCTAAAACTTTGAGCCACATGAAATGACTTATTTGTCTTTTTCAAAACTCTTTTATTTTTTTTATTTAACAAAAAAATATTTTAATTTAAAAAGAACTATTATTATCTAACATTTTATTAAATTATTTATAAATCTCTTTCAATAAAGAATGTTTCCATTTTCCTAAAAATTCACCAGAATTATATTTGTATATCTATGCAAATCAACTACCCAAGATTTCTAATTTTTGATTTTCTCTTTAAGAACTAAATCGAAGCTTATCATCATCATCATCATCAATGGCAATTACCAACCTAGTTTCTATATTTTCATCCAAATCATTACTCGATTTTGTTCACATCCATATGATTAATCAAAGCATTTCCGATAACACCTTCAACTTGTTGACTTTTTCTCCATCCTAGACATGTAATGCCTTACTTCGTTTTTATCATTTCCAACTTCATCGCCATTAATTTCTGGTTGGAGAACTCACAATTCGCACCACCACTTTGCAGTTTCGCCGCCTGTGGTAGTGTCGGAGACTCTTCTGGGAACTTTTGTTTCAGTTTAGATCTAGGTAAGGACAAACTTACAGAAGTCAGTGGATCATTCACAACTGGACCATTGTTTTGAAGATGATGAGTCTCCTTCCTCCTTTTCTCTCTTTCTTATTCACTACTACATCACATGAACACTACTAATATCCTTGAGGATTCAAGTTTATCGGGACACATCCCATAGATTTCCTTGCCCTACCAAACGACTTCGTGGCAACCGTGACCATAAATCAATTCATCGCTTTCAGCCACCCCTACCAAACCTTAACTACCATCCCCTCATCTCTACCGTCACCTCATCAACCAACAAAACACAATCTAGCCACCACTAAATGCCGTCTCCATCACCAAATTTGTCATACCCACCACACATTTTGTAACACCCCAAAAATTTCAAACTTTTTCTAACTTTAAAATGTAATTCTTAAAAAACATTCTGGTATTAACCAATATTTAACAAAACCATCCCATAAAACCTTTCTAAATCAAAACATCGAGTGTTACCATTAAGCATCAATAAATCCATAGCAAGCAAATAGGAATTACATCAATACAAAATAATAAGGAACTAATCAAGTTCCACTCCATTCTCTATAACTTGACTTCTAACTTCCATCTATCATCTTCTCTCCTTAAAGGTAACTTGAGATACATGGCACTAAAAAGAGATATGTAAGACAATAATGTCTTGTGAGATACGTGGGTTTGTGTGACAACTGACAAATTTCGTGTAAGCAAGGTTTAAAATGTAGCTATGTATAAGTACAACCATAATGTAACCTTGTTGCAGTAAAATTTTGAAAGCCAAAAAGAGCATTATTTGTAAAAGTATATATGTATGTATATATGCATACTTTGAAAATCATATTTATAGTAAACACTTAAAGGTCAAGCAAAGCCTAATAGTTGGAACATAAATCATGAATTTAAAACATTGCTTTATAGTTTTTGGCCTAGTACCCCACCGTCCTTGAGATTTCGGTTGTAAGGAGGCCGAAATCACCAACCTAGAACACCCCTAGGCCGAAAACACCTAAGATCCAAACAACTAAGACCGAAAACACCTTTGTGGGGGAGTTAGGACCGAAATCACAAAGGGTGCAAGGTGATTTCGGTCATACCTTGGCTGAAATCACCACGTACTTTGAGTCATTTCTAATGTGATTTTGGTTTAAGAGAAGTAAAAGATAAGGATAGTTGACTTTGTGATAGGATATTTCATCAATTTCCCATGCGATGTTGTTGAGCGTGTCAAACCCAACAAATAAAGGGGTAAAATAACTCCTTAAACACTACTACTTTGTACTAGAAATGTAATACAAGGTAAGCAGGGTCGATCCACAGAGACACGGAACAATTGTTTATACCTTTTTGCGGAAGGTACAATAATGGTCACATAAATGGGGGGTTGGTATGCAATGATTTAAACAAGAGGATAAAACAATAAGTAAATGATCAATTAAATGAAACAAATTCAGGATTTGTGAGAACTCCAACTCTATGCAAGACAAATTAGCAATGTGATTCCATGGATGACAATATATTTGTTTAATTCTATCTAAGTTGGTACTTGAAAGTGTTAACAAGCTCTAACACTTCCCATTCACCACAATAATTAACCAAAACAAGCTCTTTGATTAATCCTAACCTTACCAATCTAATCTAAACAAGCTCTTGGAATTAGGTTGAAAGATTGTATTAAACTTTATGTGAATGTTCCCAACAATACCCAATACTCCTCATAAGCTCGGGAGCATAAGAATGTGTGAATAGATTTACACTAATTTCATTCAATAGAAATCAGATTAGTACTAGTTACCTAGTTCAATTTACAAAACAATTACGGATTTTGCAATTAGATAACTTGAATGATCTAACCCTAATTCAAATGGCCAATAAGAATCACAATTAGAATCAAACATTCGATTGAGACAAAATTAAATTCACTAGATAGAAAATTGAAAGCAAACATCAAGTCATATGATTGAAATCACATCCAAATGTCAAGACATAAAGTTGGAGAATTTAGGGTTCTAGAACAAGATCGCAAATCTAGAAAATGAAATTAAAGTTCTTACAAAATGAAATCAAATGTTCCCAAGTGTTAATCAACTTCAAAATCCTCAAGAAATTCGCCTTCTCTACTCCAAAATTCGACCCCCTAAGTAAAAAATCAGTTCCCCCCTTTAAGAATGGTGAAAAACTGCTTTAAAACCCACGTTTACGTTTACACGGCCCGCGTAAATTAACACTGTCATTTACACGGCCCGCGTAAACGCAAAAATATACTGCACAGAAATCTACGTTTACACGGCCCGCGTAAACGCAAGGCTTCCATTTACACGGCCGTGTAAACGTCTGTAAAGCCAAAATCCTCATTTCTTTGATATCTTGCTCCTCGGTGCTCCGCAAGTCCTGAAATTTTGTCCGCAACTTTTATTTACCTCCTCCAACAATATCCTTCCTCCAAAAGTCCCTAAAATATCAAAAAAGTATTTGAATGAAATTGCCTCATGAAAAATCCTGAAAAAACATGCAAAATGCATGAGTTTAAGCCTATATGCAATGTACTTTTTATAAAATAAAGCTACAAAATAGGTACATGAAATGCACCTAACAGATGTATACCTAACAAGTATCCAAACTTATAACCAACAATTAACTAGGTAATATCACTTCACCCTTTCCTTTTATACACGACGGTAAGCAATCAAAAACCCCCACTTCCATTTCTCTTTGCTATAACTTCAAACTCTCTAAAAAAGAAAGCAAAAATCTTCCAAATTCAAAATTCTTCAAGTGTGTTCTTAGAATTTGGTAAGTATTCCTTCAAAGTCTAGTGTATTTATACACTTTTATGTTAGTTTCATCATTTTACACATATTATTATGTGTTAAATTTTTTTAGGATAATATTGTTTCCAAGGAAGTTCATCAACAACATTTAAGTGTTTAGGCTTGGAAATCTTCACATCATCACTTCAAACAACCCACAAATCCACTCAGGGTGAGTTCATACCCCCATATTTTCGAGATTTTCGATGTTTTAAGGGGGGGGGGGGGATACAAGTCAAAATTTGTTTGTTATATAAATACTTGCATATTTCATCCTTATGTTAAAATATAAGCCACTGTTTGCATAAGATGTGATTATTACTTGCTTTTGTACAAGTATTTGTGATATATTAGTTTTCAAATGCAAACTAACAAAAACAAAACATGATCTATGTTATAAAAATCATGGTAAAAAATATGATTTGCAAAACTACAAGGCTTTTGGAAGCTCTTTACCAA